CCATTCTGCAAGATTTGTTTGCTTTGATGTTGTTCAACGCTCTGATCGGTCACTCAGGCACGGTGGGAGGCTCAGATGATGCTGTCAGCGGTTTTTGACACTTGTCGGTGTTCATCAGCTCTTCAGGGGCACTCGAATTCACCCGACACGCGAATCGTTCCCAGCGACTATCCTGGTTTAAAAGTGAGTTGCCTTCTGCGTCACTAACGAGACCAACTTGATAAGGTGCTCGTCCAGAAAATTCTTGCACCGTCTAGTAAAGGCAAATCCATTCACCTGTGCCAGCCACAGATTCCAATCTGCTGGATTCTGAATCTAGCTAGACACGCCTGCCTGTCCCTCGTAGAAGTTCTTGTTCCCCGCCTTGGCAAAGCATCGGTGGGTTCTCCTCGAATCAGCGGTTTGCAGCTGCAGCACAATGCGTTGTTCTGTTTCCTTAGGGTCAAGGTTTCTGCAGAAACTAACTCATTTTTTTCTTTCTGCTTTTCTCTGAGGCCGGAAGTTCATTTGGCTGCATCGATGACAAATTCATGGAACTCGTGAATGCTGAGGATCGATTTCCTGCTAGCTCTCGTCTCTTTAGGCAGAATGAATGGAGTTCCAGGTCAGTTCCTCTTGAAACGAAGCACTTACTTCCGTCGATTTCAGCTTATCAGCATCAATGACGTCACGCTGCCCTGATGTCATTTGTCTCCTCGTCACTGCCAACCTTAGCTTAAGGTCAGCGACGAGCACAAGGTTGGGACTCGGCTCGATACAAGCCCACTTCTCACCTGAGTATTCAGCAACGCGCTGCTCTTCTTTCGATCAATCAACACGTTATCGATTGGGTCCGAGCCATGCGAAGTCATGTCATACCCCCGGGAAAATGGTTCTGCAGCGTTGAAGATCTGTCGCAAGTTCAGACAAGAGATATTGTCAGTGATTGAGCAATAAAATTAGTGTGGTACCATTCAACAATAACTAACTTTATAATGAACTCCATTTAGTGAATGGAGACAAGTAATTAGAATTATTTTAATATGAGATCGTTGACGTTTCAGAGAAGACGCGCTACGCAAAATCAGATTAATAACGCCTAGAAAACAGAATCATCGGTGTGCATAACGACATTAATTTCTAAGTTTCATACCGATACCGTTCCAAAGATGACTTGAAGGTGATAAGTCTTCTGATTCCAGGTTTGGCAGCACGAGAAACAAAAAAACATCTTTTATTTATAGAAATTCAAACGTTTCGACAGAATCGGCATCGGTCATCATTACGCACCAAGCGATGTTAAAAAACAAACTGGATAAATCAACTTGACCTAATTGGTGTAATTCTTCGCCGGTCAATAATTGAACCATTAATCACTCTCCATATCACGGAAATGTCAATGGAGCCAACGCAATCGTAACGACTTCTGTTTTGATTGGCTGCGAAACGACGCTGATTGATTCAAATCGCAACATCGCCGTTTTCGAAGTCATGACCGTTCTTCAGAGCGTGGATAACAAAGCCAAAATGCTCAGCATTATAATACGTGTAGGGTCTTCCGTTAATCTGGTTTTACACGCTAGAAAGGTCTTGCCGATTACAGCGATCAGGTGCAATTTCATAGACTACGTTGTTAGTATGGTTAAAGTGAAACTTCCTATACAGCAAGTTTCCTATGTTTTATTCCTGCAGAAAAAACGCAGCAAAACCGAACCATATTTAATACATTCTAATTTCTCCAGCTACGCCTGGATAAGGTATCAAGAGAGGGGAACTACACTTGAACGAGAAGGTGCGACCAGATTTTGGGCGTTCAGGCACAGAATCAATCAAACACTTGGCATACCCACTGTTAATGGTTGTTAATTAAAGATGTTTGATTTTACCCCTGAACATCCTGATGCTGTCATCGGTGCAGTCACTTAAAACTCTATGATATTTGCTTTTTATAATATTGACATAGTCGGATTTAGCACTGTAAGTACGGTAGGGGTTACAGTACTGTCATTTTTATACACTGTGAAAGATGATATACCAGTGGTGTCCTGCTGAATATGATTGTCAAGAAACGCCATCTGAATATTGTGTTCGTGTCTGAGGAGACTTTTATTGCATCTTGGTTATTTAGGGCATTAATTTAAGTCAGAGCTGTAAACATCCAAAGGTCATCTTTCTTATGCAAACCAAATTGAATCTTCTCACTGACGCCCGCGAAAGGTCATGAGCAATTATCAATGACACCGTGCCTAATTGGAAGATTTGCTAAGTTTGCTAGTCTGGTCTAAGTTTTTTACCTAAGACAGATGATTTGAAACAGCTGTTCAGAAAAGTATCGTCAGAGGCTTCAAACGGATTGGATATCAGATGTCAAAAGAACAGTGCCAAAGAATACTGCTAGTTAGAATCAATTTCTTATCTG